ATTTTAAAAAAAAAAAAAATCATGCTTCGAAGGGTTAAAAGCGTAATAATTAAAAATAAGAAAGATATGATTTGCTTATGGATAGATGTGGCAATACCCTCAGACAGGAAAACAATAGGAAAGGAGGCTGAAAATAAATTTAAATATGAAAATTAAGCATAGAAATTCAGCGACTGTGAAATATGAAATCCTTTGTTACAACTTTAGTCATCAGTGCTACAGGAATTGTAACAAAATGGCTAAAAATATTTATAAACAATATCAGGAATGCATTCAATATAATCCCCATAAAAAAACATCTCTATTGGGAGCATCACACATAATACGGAAAACATTACAATCTTAATGCACAAGTGGTGGTTTAAGAGAACAAGTATGGGGAAAGAACCTTGTGATAAAACAACAACGATGATGATGACAATGGTGATGACTACTACTACTACTACTACTACTACTACTACTACTACTACTACAACTACAACAACAACAACAACAACAACAGTTTGAAATGATCTGCTAATTCTAGTGTGGACCTAATTATTACAAGTTATTTCTTCCCTTTGTGTTCTATTACTAAACCTGACTCATGGGCACAATGAAAGACAAAATAGCTATGCCACAAATGTGACACAGCATTTTCTGTTATTTTTAGCCTTAAGGTCATTCAAATGTGTTCCACTTCACCAGTGCTAAGAAACATACAGAAGAGACTGAAGCCATTACAGTCTTATGTTAATTTAACTTTTTTAAACAGACAGATGTGGATTCTCAGAAATTAATATTTTCATACATAATTTAATTTTGTGGATGCAAAAATAATGAAAAGCACATTTCAGTAGTATAAACGATAAGTCAGGTGAACTGTTGATATATTCATTGGCTCTTCAATAATAAGCCTTTCTGTTTAAATTAACACACATATTTCCATATTAGCACAAACACTTTGGTTGTTTCAAAACTTAAAACCAAGTGAAGGTGAAACAATGGAATAAAACATAAGGAAATTTTGCTCCAAACACCACTAAAAACAAAACACATTTGGGAGTAATTTCATCACTAATTTAGCAAAAACAATTATAACACAACATATTTTAATGCTAGAAAGAACCTAGCAATCTGTGTTCCCTATTAAAGAAACTTACATAAAAATAATTCCCTACACCTCTTTTCTCTAATATTGAAATATAAATAGTGAAATATTTGCATCCAGTGTTCTGATTCACATCCTGAACAAAACGTTTGCCGGTAACAGAATAATCCATTTACATTTCCTGAAATGTTGTACAATAAACTCCCTATTATCTGGTATGTATGGGAAATGGCTCTATTGGTTAGACAAGAAAAGCTTATACAGAAACCCAACATGAAATCAAAATAATGTGTTTTGACTTTGGTTCTTTTCTGTGAGTTCCCCTACATGACACAGCATGACATAATGCGTAATGCTAATAGCAGTGGCTGGAATCACTGCCGAGTCGCAAGTCAACGTAAATGCATCATAGATTTATTTTGATAACTTCATTAAAATAATAAATTTCTTTCAACATGTTTGTTGGTTGAATGAGAATTCTTGATGGCTGAATATCAGATTAATGAAAGTTTACTTTAGTTTAAATTCTTGAATTATTATTTATTTTATATTTGATTACCACTATATTACACTTCTTTTTGTGGGTACACTGGCAACTACAGCTTGCAGATGTTATTTTTCATCTGTCTATTTGCCCATCTCTCTATATAAAACAACTTATATCTAGCACTTAAATAGATATGTACAAAGTTTAATATTAGCAATTCTGGTTGATAATGAATATTGGACTATTGGGTAACATAAAGGCATACATATAATTCTTAAATATACCTCACCAAATATTTCTTAGGTTGAATGATTTTCAGGTTACAAGATATACACTCTAACATCTTACATGTTTTGTATAACAAAATGACTGACAAAACACATTAATCTAGCTAGACTACTAGAATAAATCTAACTCATCATGGATAGCACTGTTCCTGTAAGTTAGTCAAAGTCACACGATTATATAACATAAACATTTGTTAATGAGATGAAGACATATATAGGAAGAATAAGAATACAAATTTTGGTGCAATTATTAAGCAACCAACAGAAGAGTTTGAGCAGTTAACACAGTACTCTCAAGTAAGGTTGCACATTAAGTAAACAGAGCAGTTATTCTCTGAATGTAATATCAGTATATTCTAGCATGAAGAAAAGTACTCCAGATACAATGTCTTAATGTCACTGCATGAGACTTACAGTAAGGCATTCATTTATCTAATCTAACAGTGTACTTACATGGTGCAAAGCAGTGGCCAGCTGTTGTGTATGCTTCTCTGAAGTCAGTCTGCTTCTGGTTCCTGCTGATGGCAGAATTGCAAGAATCAACATGAGCTTCTACGTCACAGAAGTCTCGTGCTTCTTACTGTAGTTCTTAACACAATGTCGCATAAGTAAGTACACTCACCTTGCTGCTACTAGACAATGGAATTATAAATAGAATAACGTGTGCTGAACTTCCCAGTGAAGTCACTGCTACCAGAGCAAAGAACTATAAAATTATTATTAAAATATGTGGGTGCATTAAAACACATTATGGCATCTGGTTTGCAGAATATAGTCTTTTAATCCTTACATTACAGTCACAACCTCTGTTGCTGGTAATAGGTAACTTCAGGTGCAACAAAATATTCAGTATTCATGTAAAATTGTATCAGTTTTTCTTTTAAGCAGGAGAGATGGTTAATGCTTAAACATTATCAACAGTTTTAAAATATAAGTTTTCTAGATTAAATTATTTTGTTCCAAAGTGACATCAAGATGATAGTTTATCTCACAGATGCAAAAAGATATGCACATACATATTCATCCTAGAATGGTAGACATCATCATTATATATTATATTTTCTGCTTTCTAGAATACTGGATGGAAAACATCCAAAAACCCAATAATTCAAAGACATAAAAATTAACACATAAGAAAGGTTTTGTTCAGAAATCGACATTAATGATATCAAAACGATTTTAATGGGGTAATTTGGTGTTTCTGCATCTAATTAACACAAATTTAATATATATATATATATATACCTAGATTTCAAATATAATAATTCAGTTACATCCTTGTACAATCTGCAGATCCCTAGAGCACCCAGAGTAAGAACATTCTGTTTGTAACTACACTACCCAGTCTGCTGTTGCTATTNTCAGTAACTTACTTCCTCTTGTTCTTTGTTCAAACATATAATGAGAATCACCTAATAGCATTTTACAACCCTTTTTTGAATTATAAATGCCATAGGCCTAGACTGTACCACTTACCAAACAGAGATCCACAACTTTAATCTGAAGATCCCTAGAGCACCCAGAGTAAGAACATTCTGTTTGTAACTACACTACCCAGTCTGCTGTTGCTATTCTGGGATGCTCTCAACCAAACAACAGGCAACCTAAGAATAGAACTAAGATTGGCTCCAGGACAGAAGCATACAGGGCACATACACGTGGCCTGAAAGCTGTCACTCTTAGCTCACCAACTTTTATGCAACCTAAGTGACAGAAGGAAGAAACCTGACCATGAAAACTTGGATTAGTTTGTATAAATGCTCACTAATTTGAAGTTCTAGAGTTGCAAAATGTGAAGGTCCTATTGAAAGGCAAGGTAAAGTTGTCCCTGTACTCAATTAATTAAGCACCATGCCATGAAAATGTATGGGGAGTGGAGGTATAGTTCCAGCATTCTTGACCTCAGCACTAGATGGAGATCAGTGGTCAGCTTCATGTCTTCACCTCTATACCTCCATGGAAAAAGTCTCTGGTACTCATTGGATAGAAGAATGGGTGTACCCCAGAGCCTGTCTGTATGCTGTGGAGAAGATAAAAGAATGTTGGCCCTGCTGGGAATCGAACCCCAGCCATCCAGCCTATACGTCAGTATACCAACTCAGCTATCTGGCTATGAGTGTCCTATTATGATTAAATTAAAATGAGAACTTGCAACTGGCAATATTTAGTGTAGATTAAATTAAGTTCTCCCTTTAAAGAAAAGGACTTCCTCAGTTGCTATCCCTGTAACAGGCTGTGGAGGCCCACAGGGCTGTGAGATGTCGAGGCAGTTGGCTCACAGACGGCAGTGAGGTTGTCAGCCTTAGGTGCTGGCCACCTTTTAATCCCAAGATTCCCAGTACTCGTATCTGTTAGAGGCTGTTGACTCCAGGACCATAGTGAGGCTGCAAAGGTTTAGGTCAATTGAAAAATCCAATGACCTCATCAGGAATCGAACCCATGACCTTTCAGCTTGTAGCATAGTGCCTCAATTAATTACACTATCATGAGCCCCACCGTCCTCAGTAAACGTTAATTTAAATACTGTTTTTTGGTATCATGTAGTCACTGTTTTGTTGGTAAATATTCCAAATGTTAGAATCTCCTTATCTCAGTACATGACTGTGTTTCAGGTACCAACACAAAAGGAAATATCAAAAACTCAGTTAAGTCATAAAGGATAACAGTCACACAGAAAATGTTGCCTCTTAATATTCCGTGTTTGTTTTATACATAGAAAGGCTATGAATTAGTTACAAAGGTTTAATAATCCAAATTTTCTTTATCTCATGCTGCTGAAGGAAGAAACTTGGGCACACATTAAAATAATTTCTTCTGCAAATTAAAGAAGTTAAACAAGAACCCTTATATTTTGGATCCTGATCTTCCAGATCAGATTCTTATGTGTTATTAAAAGTTAGCTTAGGAAAATAAATTATGGTGTCACAATAGTATTCCAGCATCCACCTCAAGCGATTGACAAAAACTAGTTCAGATAACCAACAGCCTGGCCAAGATTAAAACTGCGTATCAACATGAGTATTACCAGCATAACCAACCTGCTTGGTCAGTACCGATAAAACTATACCTGTGTTGTGAATCACTGAAATGGAGTGACTGAAGGAAACTATGTTTCTACAGTTAAATAAATTTGCATTACTTAAAGAAAAATGGTAGCATTAATTGCCAGTAAAGTGTTTATATTGTTCCACATTACAAAAGTGTGGCCTTAATATAGGATCTGTAAACCCATACAACTATGTTATATATTGACTGCAGCTCTTGTGGTTGTTTTCACCAAACAAATTATTTGTCTTCCCTTTTGGCAACTAATTCTTTATAAAAAAAGAGTAACTTGGCAGCATGCCCACAAAAGTTGTGTCTTAAGTGAATGTTTATGAGATGTACAAAAAGTTTAACACTAGTTTAGTTCTCCTTTTTTTTTTTGTTTCTTGGGGTGGGGTTAGACTGAGCTCATTTAGTACGTTGGCCACTAACTGGCCTATTGTACCAGCCCTGGATGACAGATGAATGTGGAGCAGTCAGTGGAAACTGAAGTACTTGGAGAAACCCTACCACAGTGCCACTTTTGGCCACCACAAATCCCACATGCCATGGCCTGGGCTCGAACCTGGGCCACCATGGTAGGAAACCAGTGACTAACTGCATGAGCTATGGCAGTGCCTAAGTTTAACACTAAATAATCTGCTTATAACACCAAAACAAGAAGTAATTATATTATTATTATTAATTACAAGATTATTAACACACTCGCCCACATCTACTGCAAAATTAGCATTTTTCTCAAGTCTCTGAATCTTTTTCATTATTAGCCCACTTTCCTTCCATTTTGGGTGGAGGAGGATGAGTCCTGACTTTGACTTCTGAATAAATTGATGGATTTTCACCGAATTTTGAATGAGTATTATGCCATTGGAAGCTACCCCAACACAGTACAATTTAATTTACTACAATCAATAATAACAAAATGGCAAACATGAGAATTTCTGAGATGGGGGTGATACTAGCAACACTTACTTTGCCATCCACAAAAGATGTATGTGCATTGATTTTGGAAAAAATATTCAACCTATGTTGAGGCTCTCCTTCTTTTTTTTTTTTTTTGTACTCATAGAATGTAAAATGATAGCATGGTGGCCATGCAATTTCTTTCCAACATTAATTCTGATGGCAATAACTAATGAGCCACTGGAAATTCTATATGAAGATAGATCATTAAAATAACTACACATTATGTATGAAATACTGTTTGTAAGTAAATAATTGTGACACTGATGTTTTTGTGTGAAGAGTTTACCAAGCCCCTTACACAAGCCCCAAACCTGGAGAACTGAAACCCTGCCTCAGTAGAAAGTTTTTTGGTTCCAGATAGGCTCCCACTAGTTTCTAGTCTTCACAATGTACAGACTGTACAACTTGGAGCCAGCTATTCTTGGCTGTCATCTGTTGTGCTTATATATGCAATACGCAGTTGGTAGGCATGCAAGGTCCTTCACAGGATAAAGACACTACAATAAGAAAGTTTTCTTATATTATATCTTGTGACCAGGCACATGAAAACAGCCAACCCATCTTGACAGAATTCTGATGAATAAGAGTATAATTCAAGATAAAGCACAAAGGTAATAATGTTTGTGTTAATTCACAACAATAAATTTGAATTTATCTATTTACTGTAGCCGATTTAGTATGGTAAAAAAAGATTCAAACCTCCTATCTCCCCAGAGAATATAGCCATTGTAGGCTCTAACTTAAAGAGACTGTTCCCTTGTTTAAAAATGAATCTTTTGGTGCTCTGTCACACATATAAAATATAGTTACCAGTTAATTAAAAGCAAAAATAATAACCTTAAGAACTTGAATCAACGTATTCCATTGCTGTAATGACAATGAAATGTGAGTTCCTTAGAAATAACCGGAAATTTATGACCCATTTTTCACCAGAAAACTTAGTGGGTAGAAATCATAGGACTGAAAAAGACCTCCTGTACTAAAAGACAACACTATAATCAAGTACATCACCTTACCTTCATATCTCATGCTCTTTTTCATATCTGAAGTTTAATGTATAACTTCAGCCCTTCATTGTGAAAATAACAAACTACAATATTTACTTGAGCTCTGGAAAATCTTAACAACATTCTAAACAGCTAATTCTTGAAAATGTAATTTTATATTAATTTTACATTACCATAGGACAATATAATAAACATGAACTATTATGTTAATATAAAGAATGTAGTAAAAATACAACAATCTTAATGAGGAATAAAAGTGAAAAGAAAAGTATATGAAATTCATTCACCACAGTGTTAATGACAGATTCCAGCTAATATTCATAAAGGAAGGTTGATATAGCACATAGCATACCACAAATAACAAAATGGGGCAAGGCCTGTCTTGAAGAATTCATTCATCAAGTTAAAAAAAAAAACACCATTTTAAGGAACTGAAATGTTTATTCCTATATTTACAGAAGTCCTAGAACTTCTGTCATGCCCTCTGTATTGTTAACAAGCAGTGCTGAAACTGTTTGTTTTCCACTATATAGATCTAAAAAGAGTTCAGCCAATGAAACATAACTGTCCATGAATAAACACCATTTTTGTATTTTTGCCATGTGTAGAGTGACATCTGCAGCAAAATTCACACCATTTCCCCAGCTAAATGGTCAACATATGGAGTCTTCGGCTCTGCGCTGCACCAGGAATGGCCGCCTCGCCACTCCGACAGCATGCCCGACTCACTGGGCTGCCTCAGCTAGCCGGCGGTCATGCCCCACTCACTGGACATCTGTTTTAGCTACTGCCTCTCCACTCCAGCGACCACGTTCGATGACCAGACTTCCACCATCAGCTGCCGCACGGTGATCAAGAACCTCCAGCAACTGCCGCACCACGATCAAGTGACATCCAGCAATGGCTGCACTGCGGCCAGTCAACACACCGCAACCAACATCCCCTTTCTACCGGTGCGCACTGCGCTACCTCACCAGTCAAGCATCTCAGCAACCAACGGTCTTTTTCAGGACCTACGAGTACAAACTTTTCCGAAGAAGTGGGTTGTCATTGAAGTAATGACACAATACCCCCACAGAACATAATTATATGTAAATATTTTCAAGTCACAGTTCTTTTAAAAATGTAAATTTGTATTGATTTCAGTATAAATTAAATTCTTTGTCAAGAGAAAATCTTGATTCTATGTAAATAAAATATATGCACAAAGAAGAAGGCAGTCTAAATTATAGTGGGTCCAACTCAGCGAAGTTTTCTGCAGGGTGGTACAATGGTACAATGCGAAAACCATTCTGAACTTCCACATCCCATCATAATCTGTACTTCTTCCATCTGGTAGATTCTCATTATTCTTTATGCAGATTCTCAGGATATGTAGAAACCAATTAGGTTTCATGACTTCTGAGTTGAATGGAATATAATATAGTTTAAATTCTGACCACAATCCTTTAGTGTTCTGATTATCATGACCTGTCTGAAATGTCAAAGTTATAAAATAGTATATTTTACCAAAATCTTGTTGCCAAGTTTTGTTCTGTTTTCCTTGGATGTGTTGACAGTAGTGGTGATCTGGGTCTACTGAAATAATGATGATTCACGTTTATTAAATAATGCTTCATCATCTACATTGATTAAGTAACAATGAAGGTGTAACCTGTGATGATGTACTAGAAAGGACGTGAAGGAAGCTGACATGGATTATTTTAAGGTATGACTATTATCCAAGAATTTGTAACCTCCAATGACTACATGTTCTTTCATACTTTGTGGTCAAGAAAATGTAATATTTATCTCAAATTTATTGCCCATATCATGAATTTTATAGTCATGTTTATAACTTCTCTAAGATCAAAATTCCATAACCCAAACATTAATAACATGGGGCACACTTTAATATATGTGGTGCGTTCCATATATAATGCCTCCTATTTTGTGTTAATATGTAACGTCTGAGCTAGATGTTGGTGGTGTTGTAGTAAAGGTTGAACATTCCCGCCAATGTACTGTTAATTTGGTTGTCGTGCGACAGATAGCGACAGCAGAGCAGTCTACCAAAATGGCGTCTGACATAGAAGTGTGTATGAAAGAGAAATGTGTTATTGAATTTCTCACTGCCGAACAAATTGTACCCATTGACATCCATCAACACTTGCTAAAGATGTACAGAGACAATACAGCGGATGTCAGCACAGTGATTCGGTGGGTAGTGCGTTTCAACAGTGGCGAAAGTGAAGTGCATGACAAGCCATGCCATGGGCATCCCTGCTCATCTGTCACTCCTCACAATGAACAGCGCCTCATCTGAACAGATCAGCAGATAATGACCAGGGACTGTCAATTCTGAACGCTACAAGACAACGCTGACTAAGCTGAAAGCCTGTATTTCCTCGAGTCAGGCCAGAGAAGCAGAAAACCTTTCGCTTGCAACAGGATAATGCTAGACCTCATACCAGTTTGGCATACACTGCGCACATTGCAAAGTTTGGCTGGACTGTCCTACCACTTCCACCTTATAGCCCTGATTTAGCAGCTTCAGACTTCCATCTCTTTGGGCCTATGAAAGACGGACTATGTGGGCAACATTTTCCAGACAACGATGCTGTCATTGCAGCTGTAACAAAGTGGCTAGCCTCTGCTGGCGCAGACTTTTACAGGCGCGGCATACAGGCTCTTGTTCATCGATGGCAAAAGTGCATAACGAATGGTGGTGATTATATGTAAAAATAGCTGTAAATAGCTGAAATCTTGCTCTATTTAACTGGGTTATTATGATTTCTGTATCTGTTGTAGTTTTCTTTAAAAAAAACAGGAGGCATTATATACGGAATGCCCTTAGTAGATCGTAAAACAGAGGTAGAAAATTTCTCCACAGATTCAATTCCTGTATTTATTGTATCATAGAACTCTTTTTCATGTTATAAAAAATTGCAAAATTGTCTTCACATATTTGACGATGAATAATAGATAACACTATAACAGTAATAAAATACAGATATGCAGCCAGCTTATGTCATATATTACACCTTAAGAGGTGCTGTAAAATTAAAACTAGAAGTTACACAAGTAATGTGTAAGATGAACTGTCCTTAAACTCAGTGCTAGTTGTATATAAAATCACAATGAATTTTCTCTTGTACAATGTACCTTATGCTAACACTAAACTATCCAAGTTTTTTAAAATAATAATATTTTATTGTAATGGGCCACAGCCTATTTACTGGAAAAACATGGTAGACCTTCACATTTCAGAAACTGTAAAATGCCTCTTCCCTGAGAATCTAAAAGGAAACAAATATTGAACTGTTAACACAAACAGATGATGTACAAATGAAATGTATACCATTTTACTGTAACACTGTTAATGAACTGAAAGGAAGATGAATGAAAAATAAATGCATCTGAGAAGGTTATATGACCACGTTTTAAATTCATGTCATTTTAGTTACATCTTTCTAGCAGAAGCATTGGATTCATACCTGTAAAAACGGAGTCTCAAATAGAAAGAGGTAAATGTGATCTGTGGTTTCAGGAGTGTAGGTCTGTATATAGGAGATTTCATAGTGTTTGGATAGGAATGTTGACTCACATGTGGTATAAACTAGCGTCCATTGTTTATCTTCCGTAAAAATTGCAACACCTTTACATAGACAATGGACGCTAATTTGAACAATTGCAATGGGATGCTGAAATGCAGAATCGTGGTATAAACTGTTTGATCAGGTCAGCTCCATCTGTAAAGGAAGACACCACAGGAGACAATCAGTCTTTGTCAAATGGACATATTGTTCCATAAGGTCAGGGCACCTCCAAAATTCCACAAAGAAGTGATGAACTTCATGAACTGAATGTTCCCAGGAAACGGACTGGCAGGGATGGACCTATTGTTCGGCCACATAATTCACTTGATCTTACTCGCCATGAAGAATGATGTATGTACTACCACTTTGGTGGTAGTTGCTGGCAGGATAAAAGCTGCAGTGGTTACAGTTGCCCTCAACTGTCTGTCACCTGAAACTGAATGAAGATATGATATCTGCCACACCATTCACAGTGCCCTCATTAAACATCTGCAAAAACTTCACCATTTAACCTATTCAAATGCATTTAGTTTTCAATTCCATGCATTTTAGTTGATGAGCAATGTTACAATAAAATGGTACATACATTTCATGTGTAATCCCATACGTATAACAGGACAATACTGAAGTATCACAGCTTACAAATCACAACTGATGATGACTTCTGTCCATCAGCAGAAGTCACATATTGAATACCATCAATTTTCACAGATTCTGTTTCAATACCTAATGTAGATGGCTTCTAAGGAGCTCAAAAGGTTTGCTGTTAATATTTATGTGGGTTTTCTCATTGATAGATTCTGCACAGTAATCGGGAAACTCTTGTTTCTCTGCTCCTTTATCGGTGGGCTTACCCAGCATCTGTTCTTTGTTACCAACTGAGCAAACTGATTCTGTTTCATCATGAGATGGTGACTCAAAATTTTTGAGAGTGACTACCAGTTTCACAGGGGTCACTGACAGAGGCACCTTCCATATTGTTTTGCTGATCATTCAGTCCCCTTTCAGGTTCTGGGACTTCCACTATTGTGCCAACTTGTTCACAAGGCGTAACTGCAAAGAGAGACCGAGCCACCTGCTTCATCGGCTCCACAGGGTTTGGAGGCTCTTCTTCTATGTTGTTCTGATATGTGGTTGGAAGTTCCATCTACAAAAAACAACTGTTTTTTTATTTCAACTCTGAACTTACAGTCAGCTAAACTCTGAGATGTAGTACATGCTTACAAATGGGAATACAACAAATTCACGTTAGACTGCTGCAATTGAACACCACTGGTGACTATTAAATGCAACCAAGTGGATATTTTAATTCAAAGCAAGCAATTCTCAGAAACCAGACAGACTGCAAAATTAATGCATATGAACTTCTTTTTGGGAATATTTATTAATTTTGCTTTAATCCTCATTACCTATAAAACTGTAGTACAATGCCAGGCTTCAAAGAATTCATAATGAAAACACATATTATATGATACCAAGTTCGAAAGGACATGAATGCAGAATGTTCTGCAAAGCTGTTACATATAACATACGTTAAGATCAGCTAGGAACAGGTACGTGTAGTGAAATTGGGATTGCCAAGTTCTAGAGTTAAATTATTTTGGCTGGAATATATCCTATGAAGAAGGAAAGGATATGAATGCATAAATGTTAACTTCTGTCAAAATTCTAAGAATTATTTATAAATCAGATCTGCACACCATAATTGGTTTCTAGGTATATAATAGTACAAGATCAGTATTATATATCATGGCAGTGAATCATGAACAATAGGCACTATTGAGAGAAGACTGACATCAGCAGAAAAGTTCCAAAGCATTCACAACAATCATGCATGCTAATGATGTAAAATAAAGAAACAAATGAAAAGAGAGACATGGTGGAGGGAAAAGGAGAATGAGAGAATTACCTTCATGGCTAAAACTGTGTCAAGTTGCATGAGCAGTTCCTGTATCGTTTGATCCTGAGAGCTGTCTACAGTTTTCAGCAAACCCTCCTTGCGAGATGTTCTTACAGCATCCTGAGGATGGTGTTTATCATTGCTAGAAACTTTCTTCACCAGCATCTGCACACAAATTGTTATTAAATGTGTTCATTTTCCACATGCAACATTCACAGTTTTGTCTATTTACTGGTTTAATTAATGACACTTTCTCAAGTATAGAGATAATATCTGATATTTCTTAGTATTTATAAACAAAGGCTAAATTACTGACAAAAGGAGCAACAGTATTACCTTCCATACGCTGTGGCTTTGGTAAAGATAAAGCTTATAAAGGGAAGGAAAATGTAATACAATCTTGATAATATGACGTGCAATTTCGTTTTAATTTCTGCACACCTTGCATGCTGACAGTGATGTATTATGCACTTGCTGTAATAAGGCTGAGGATTGTGTAAACTTTCCCAATGTTCTAAAATAGTTCCAAGATAACAAACGAGTGTTATAGAGATAGAAGTGAACACTAAGAGCAATGCAAACTGATTAATAAGAATGCAATAGCACACAACAACATTAACGCAGAAGAAAAAGAATTGGATATCACTTATAATCAAACAATAACCAAGACATCAGTAGATGAGAACAGCTGTATATAATTTTACTGTGGGCTCCAGGGGTTAGAGGCTGTGTTCATGCTTTTACTAAAGCTGAACTATTAAATAGGATCATGTCTACTTGAACAAACCTGAACTATTAAATAGTATCACGTCTACTTGAAAAAACCCGATAAAGAAAAAGGACCAACATCCAGTGTCAACATGTAAGAAATGTATCTGATTTTAGCTCTTAATATACAAATGAGTTATGACTAAAGAGACTTGTTGAAAAGCTAGTGGTCCACTCCCCATTGGAAATACTGTATACACAAAAATAAGTTACACAACATGTTGCCTGAGTACTGAAGTGTTCTAGCTCCACTTCTGGATTAACATTTTGCGGACCGCGCACCCTTTAAAAGGTTTTTCGCTTTTAAACATGGCGGACTGTTCGCATGTTAACAGGTTTTTAGAACACGATAAGTTGCAACACACTATACATAGCTTTGGCACCACCTACATTGCATGCAACCACCTGCAGATGCATGATAAGACTCTGGAATGTTTAGTTAGCAGTCAGTAACTTGACCTTGCCGTTTACTTAACCGACTATAAAGGACAATGCTTTGCCTTCTTCAAGCTGTGTGTATCAGCCAGTAGCTAGTGGGGAGAATGGATCAAGGACAAATTCTCCTCCGATGACCTAGCTGACCTGCCTTGTGAGACGCGTAGTAATGGATTGTCATTCAGACAGCGACAGTGACAGGGGGACAACAAATAATTGTGGCAACAGACAGTAAAAGTGACAGTAGCTCCGACTATAATGCGGGTAATAACATTGTGGGGACAGCAAAAAATCTAAACCCTGATTCAAAATTGAAATACAAAGCATTTCTGATGAATGTGGCAAAGGTCTGGGCTGCAGTCCAGATGGTGGCGGCAATACCAGGGTCACATAAAGACATAGTACGACCGGCCCCATAAACTCCCGCCCCACGAAAGTCTCATGTGGACCCCTAGGGTGACTCTCGAGTGATATGCGGAAAAATACCCTCATGAAAATTGTGAAGAGTGAACAATCCAAGGGGAAGAATCCTTGTAGGCAATGGCGTGTTTGCACAGTTCACCAAAAAGAAGTATGTCTACATTTGCAAGTTCTGTGTAATGCCATTTCACAAAGGGGAATGTTTCCAGATATATCACACCCTCAAGCACTTCTACGAGCATTGGTAAGTGTTCTCCACAGTGCACAAGTTAGGGTAGTATGTTAAAAATGCCGGTCCTCAGGGTGATTTAAATATTTAAATCGCCGGTCTGCGAAGTGTTAAAATGAGATAATGGTGCATTTTTGATTCTCTGTACCATAAATCACATATAAGCTGCAAACTGATTCCCTCATTTCAAAAGTAGAAACTGATGTTGATGGACACAGTACATTCCAGTACTCAGGTGATGATGATGTATATGATCTCCAGCATGGGACATGTTTCAACACACATGTGCCTTCCTGAGACCCTCAAATACTGGAATACATGTGTAGACCTTCATATTACTATGGATCACATACCTAATATGTACCTAATTTTGCCTAACAGATCCAGTGGATTCTCAAGTGGTTATTAAGCATTACAAATTGTTCTTACGTACAGTATTAAATGCATAAAAATTAGTGAAACTGACACAAAATAATAGTATGTGTAAAAGTCACACAGTGTTGAGCACTGAATATAATTCTTACTCTCTAGTGGTTGTACACACCAATCTACAGCAGCACAATGACGTGTGACAAATTCTTTCACATACTGAGATTTCCTTCACAATCAAAATGAACCTAATATTACGGAAGCTTATGGAAAATAAGACCTTTATGACATGGCAAATGATGTCTATGTAAATTAATTAAAGCCCTTCTACATATATGGTAGTATACAAAGTAATTATGCTTTCCAAAGGGAGGCTAATTTCCAACAGTACATTAAAAAGAATATGGAGGGTGAAATATATACACTCTCAGAACAGAGTATGAATTTGATAAGATCACTGTGGAAAGTCAGACAAAACGAAACACAAATAATGTGACAAGCCTCACTAAGAATGAAGGAAGCTGGATACAAATAATGCCTGGCCAATTTCTTTTCCATTTGTGACTTGACTGATGATCTTCTAAAAAGAATAAATTGTTACATGACAGTCAGATGAAAGAGAAATGGGATGTAAGATATAAACAAAATACTGTGAGTGAATTTTTATTTATAGTTTATTTAACAATGCTTTAAATAACTCAGGTTACATAGCACTGGACAGGATAATAAGCAAATATTAAACTCGAAAGGATGTGGATGGAAGTGGCATATGGCCTAATTATAGGTAATATCCCAGCATCTGCCTGGAGGGACTATGGAAAAACAAAGAATGCCTCTGCCAGGACAGAGAGTCTCTGGGTTCAGATCTCAAGCCAATATATGAAAGGTGGAATGTTAACCACTCAATTGTGACATCTGGTGCAAGTAAATGAACATTCCTGTATAAAAAGTGTAACTTGCCTCAGATCCTTGGCCATCTATGATTCGAGCATTACCCTTCTGTGATAATGCACAGATCAACTCCTTCACAAACTTCTTGTAAGACAGCTTCTCTCTTTTTAAATGATGAACTGTAAGTTCCAGTTGCTTCTGAACCAACTGACTCATCTGCAAGTCATTCTCCAGGTCCTGGATATGATCCTTCATTTTGGAGATTTGTTCTTCTGATGACCCCACCTTCAGGAAAACCAATGGATACCAATTATCAACTGGAAATATGTCATTCAATAACTTTTTACTTTTATTGGCTGTGCAATGTGCTTTTGTAGGATGGATGCATAGTCCAGCAGCCCAATCATCACTGCAACATTGCAAAGCTTATACATCCTTTATTTTGAGCCAGTTTACACAGTAACACCATAACATGAGCACAAGGACAGCACCAGGAAGACATCTATAGCACACAGCACATATAACTAAATAACTTTCTCAAAGTACTTACTTACTTACTTACTTACTCATGGAGCTGAGCCCTTCTGGAGGAGCCGCCAATTCTGCAGCTACCCAAGAACTTCCCAGCATTTATTGTAACCTGAAAGTTCATTATCATTTTCACAAAAGCCCACCACTTGTCCCTATCCTAAACCAGATCAATCCAATCCATAGCATCCCATCCTATCTCTCTAAGATCCATTTTAACACTGTCCACCCACCTATGCCTTGGTTTTCCCGGTGGTCTCTTTCCTTCTGGCTTTCCTACCAATATCCTATATGTACTCCTCCTCCATTCGTGCTACATGCCCTGCTTACCTCATCCTCCTTGACTTGATCATTCTAATTATACTTGGAGAAGAGTACAAGACTACAAATTTCTCAAAGTAAGTAAAATAAAATACAGGTTGATGAAAAAAAGGCATTTACATACAAAACTAACAGAGATAATATATTTGTGTTACAGGCTACAGACTTCAAAACCAACATCATTAAAATTCAGACTACAAGTTTCTGTATCATAAAACTAAAAAAAAATATAAATAAGTTAAAATAAAATGCCTATCTTTTTCAAAACAAATACAAAAATTTGATCCAACTTCAACTTATTTCAACACATCTTTATCCTATACAGCTTTAAAAAAGCATTAAAAAACAAAAGCTATGGTATGGTTACAAGAAACAGATTATGGTGATGCCCTTCTGCTCTGCTGATGGACTGAGGTGACTGTGGCTTAAGCCAGGGTCAAATGGTACACTCCTATAAACATTAAAATGAGCCTTTGGATTCCATAAAAATGAGAATACTCCTTAATCAGATGAGTTAGTTAATGGACCTCTAAAACATTTCGCAGAATTTTTGGAAATGTACTTTATTCAATGAAGAATGTTCAAAATTATTACACCAATGAAAACCAGCCAAATTGCATTGGTTACAGGATCCAAGTGAAATAAATGGGGATAATCTGAAACAGTATAAGACGTGAAACCAGCAGGAATTTCAGGAACAAAAATAGGGAATATCTGAAAGACAAAACTGATGAGCTTGCAACGAACAGTAATAACAAGAATATCAGAGACCTGTATAGAGGAATAAATGACTTTAAGAGGGGTCACCAACCTAGAAGTAACTTAGTGAAGGATGGGAATGGTGCTGTTTGCAGATTCCCACAATATTTTGAATAGGTGGAAGAACTACTTCTCTCAGTTATTGAATGTACATAGGATCAGTGATATTAGGCAGACAGAAATATGTACATGCAGCTGAGTCGTTAGTACCTGATCCTAGCCCTTTTGAGGCTGAAGTGCTACTTCAAAATTGAAAAGGTATAAATCGCCAGTTAGTGATCAAATTCCGGAAGAACTGATTCAAACAGGAGGTGAAATATTATGTTCTAAGATACATAAGTTAATCAATTCTATTTGCAATAAGGAAGAATTGACTGATCAGTGGAAGGAGTCTAGTGTTGTACCAATTCACAATAAGGGTGATAAACTTGACTGCAATATTTATTGTTGGATATCAATGCTATCAACTTCATACAAAATTTTATTCAACATATTTCTCTCAAGGTTGAGTTCATATATAGACAAAATTACTGAGGATCATCAGTGTGGGTTTCAATGTAACTGATCAACTACTGATCAGATCTTTTGCATTCATCAGATACTGGAGAAAAAATGGGAGTACAATGAGACAGTACATCTTCCATTCACAGACTTCAAGAAAGCCTGTGATTCAGTTAAGAGGGAAGTATTGTACAATATTCTCATAGAGTTTGGGGTACCCATGGAACTAATTAAACTGATTAAAATGTGTTTAAATGAAATGTATAGTAAAGTCGGTATAGGTAAACATGTTTAAGATAATTTTCCTATCTAGAAGGGCCTAAAACAAGGAGATGCTTTATTGTCACTGCTTTTCAACTTTGCTTTAGAATACACCATTAGCAAGGTTCAGGAAAACCATGTGGGACTGAAATGAAATGGGGTACATCATCTGATGGTCTGTGCTGATGATATGAATTGACTGGGTGATAACATACAAGGTGTGTCCCAAAAGTCATGAAATATATATATATATATTAAATTTATTGATGATATCGGTACAAAGTGTTAATATTCTTCAAAGTACTGTCCATGAGCATCTACACATTTTTTCCACCGACTCTCCCATGCACGGTATGCCCCCTCAAAGGCCTCAACAGGAACCTCATTTAAAGCTGTTGTCACGGCCGCTTGGATAGCCTGAATGCTTTCAAAACGGCGTCCTTTGAGTGCAGTCTTGATCCTCGGGAACAGAAAGAAGTCGGCCAGAGCTAGGTCGGGGCTGTAGGGTGGCTGCAGGAGCGTTGCCACGTGGTGCTTCACCAGGAACTCATGGACGAGCAGAGACGTGTGACTGGGCACATTGTCATGATGCAGCTGCCAGTTAGCGGCGATCTCTTTTTGGACGCGGATGACCCTTTTCCTTAATCTTTCTAGAACATCCAAGTAGTAGGGAGCGTTGACGGTCTGTCCTTGGGGTAAAAACTCTTTGTGGACCACACCCTTGGCGTCGAAAAAGACGATGAGCATTGTTTTCACTTTGGATTTGCTCATCTTCGCCTTCTTCGGTTTCGGGGAAGCCGAGGTGTGCCATTCAGCACTCTGGCACTCCCCGTAGGCTTGCTTAAGCAGTTCGTGAGTTTCGGCAGCTTTTTTGTTGAGCTTTGTGCAGAATTTGACCGCCCAACGTTGTTCGAAAATATCCGCCATCGCGCACCGTGACGTGGTCATAAAACACAGGTGCACTAAATCAGCGATACTGATGCCTCTGATGCTTGAGCAGACTGACCTTGGGCGCGCTGTGAAGCTAAAGGCCTTCCCCCCCCCCCAAACCCAACCAGTTCCAGCGCGCTCCGACCAGTAGGAGCGCGGGAATGAAATATATTTCATGACTTTTGGGACACACCTTGTAGATACCATAAAAGAAAACATCGAAAATTTAATTGACGCTAGTAAGGTTGGTCTAGAAGTAAACGCAGAGAAGACTAAGTATATGTTGCTCTCTCATCACCAGAATGCAGGGCAAACTCATGGCATAAAAATAGCCAACAGATGTTTTGAAAATGCAGCACAGTTCAAATATCTGGCAAGGACAGTAACGAATCAAAACTGGACTGAGGGGGAAATTAAGAGGAGATTGTACCTGGGTGATGTTTGCTGCCATTCATTCCAGAATATTTTGTCTTCTCATCTGCTGTCTAAAAACTTAAGAATTAGAATATACAAACCTATAATTTTGCCTATGGTTCTGTATGATTGTGAAACTTGGTGGTCTCTGACATTAAGGGAGGAACGTAGACTGGGGGTGTTTGAGAACAGGGTGCTGAGGGGAATGTTTGGACCGAAGAGAGATGAGTGAGAGGAGGTTAGAGAAAACTGCATAATGAGTAGCTTCACAACTTGTACACTTCACCGAGTATAATTAAAATGATGAAGTGGAGGATGAGATTGGCAGGGCATGTAGCACAAACTGGGGAGAAGAGGAATGCGTGTAGGATACTGGTGGGAAAGCCAGAAGGAAAGGGACCACTAGGAAGTCCAAGAGACAGGTGGGTGGATAATATTACAATGGGTCTTAGAGAGATAGGATGGGATGGTATGGATTGGACTGATCTGACTCAGGATAGGGACCAGTGGAGGGATCTTGTGAATACGGTAATGAACCTTCGGATTCCACAAATTACTGGGAAGTTCTTGAGTAGCTACACAGTTGGTGGCTTCTCAAGAAGGGCTCAGCTCCATGAAGTCAGTCTAGTTATGTTATCATTTATAGAAAGAGAACTGACGCAAAGAGGGAAGTTAATACCTTTTCACTCGAAACACTATGAACATTATTCCTTGTGTCTGTAAATAGGCCTGCTCCTAGAAACCTGAAATATTGACTGCACCCCAATACCTGCAAACATAAAATCAAATATGGCCTGACATCTGATCTTCTGCAGCACATAAATGAAGAGAAATACTTACACTAATTCTGATGGCATGCTGTTTTCATTTACTCCCAAATACAATTTGTTATAAATCTGATCAACTGCTTTGGAGTGTGAGAAGGCTTCAAGGACTCCAGATCCTACTATATTTAATCTGCTAGAAATTCTATATTGTTGATTGGGACATTAAGGCTGCAAAACGTTCTTCTCAAGAGTGAAAATGAACTTCCAGCACTTCAAGGAAATGTAGCTGTTTCAGCATCTCCATTCACTGAAGAATCTGAAAAAATCTTATGCACTGCTCTACACTGCCAGACACAGAAAATTTACCACAGTTCTAACTGCAGAGATAACTTTGTGTGCAAGGGCAGACATCATACCAGCATGGACCCAATCAAGTTTGTTCTAGAAACTTCAGTTTTTAACTCCAGATCTCCTTACTCACACAGATTTATAATGGGATACAACTGTGGCGATTCCTAGCAGTGAGGCTATTTTTTTTCATTCTCTAATAATTGCATAATTATATTTTTTCCAGTGATGGCTTGCACCCAACTTCAGAACACTGCTGTAATTTGCTTCTGATAATGCATTAAGTCTGGATTATAAAATGCTGCAAGCATCCAGATGGGATGACTGCTTTTAGAAAATGCTGGCCAACTCAAGTTATCCGAAGATTCTAGCGTTTTCTTCATTGTCTTCTATTGATTATGCCAATGGACTTCGTTCCAGTATAAAATAAGTATCAAATTGACTTAGGTCAATAATGGCAGTATTAAAGCCTTACTGATGATCTCACTGCACTGACTGTATTACTGTGAATTGATTTAAAATTTTCCTTACTTAGTTTTCAATGGATTTGGGACCTAGAATACGTGTTTTTCATTTCAGGATTTCCTCAGTTTAGTGTTCAAATATGCTGCCTCACAGAGATATAATGCTCTTAAACAGAGATTTCACTGCATAAACGGAAGTAAATTCAACGTACGGGATTTAATTGGTGTGAAATACCTACACACTAACATGAAAAACTGCTGGAAAAATTGTCCACAATTAAACCACATAAATAAATACTTAACTAAATTACAATCATAATTTCATACAATTACAATACATAAATGGTTAAAGGAGGAACCACTGTATGAATACCTCAAGCTGCTTATTAACGTATATGAACTGGTATTTCTTGTCAGTCCACACATCTTCTGAGTGGTATTTACATTGGAAGAGAACATTTCTTTGTAATGCTACTTCACAGGGGCGAGTGATTACCCATTCAAAGGTAATATACTGATGCAAATTCTTCCATCCATGGGGATATAAGCCAATCCAGTCATAAGATGAAGGTTGAATCTGCAAATGCAATATAAAATCACAAAGCATTAATTCCTTATAAATTTATTTCAGTTTTGATGGGTTTATTTATGCCTGCTTAACAATAAAATTACATCAGCACTCTGAAGTTTGAATTTCCTCTGAACAATAATTAAGAATGTAGGATTTGAGGTTTTCATGGTGGTGACTATGAAGAAAGCAGTCTTCTGGGATGTGGCGCCATGTAGATATTGTGTTAACCAACGTTTCGGAGGTATTTTGAGGAATTATTAAATAGTAACGCCTCTGAACAAGTGGAAGGTATGACCATAGACCGGACTCAAGGAAATTTTGAGGCTGAAGAGCCAGCGCCAACCATAAAAGAAGTAGAACAAGCTATCAAAAAACTGAAAAATAATAAAGCTCCAGGAATGGATCTCATCATGGCAGAATTAGTGAAATTTGCAGGCCCAGAATATGCCAAGCACTTACAACAGCTAATAGTTAAGATATGGATAACTGAAATAATCCCAGAGGAATGGAACCTAAGTATTGTATGCCCTATCCATAAGAAAGGCGACATCATGGTATGCTCTAATTATAGAGGAATTAGTCTGTTGTGCATAGCAAATAAAATATTTTCCAGCATTCTGTTTAACAGACTCTCTCCCTTTGTGGAAGGCATAATTAGGGATTACCAATGTGGGTTTCGGCAAGGAAGATCAACTAACGATCAGATTTTCACTATTCGACAGCTCCTTGAAAAGTGTAATGAATTCCAAATTGATACACATCATCTTTTCATTGACTTCCGATCAGCCTATGACTCCACAGATAGAGATGGTCTTTTTCTGGCAATGGAAGAGATGCACATTCCACAGAAGTTAATCACCTTAGTCAGAGCCTCTATGAGAAAGACCCAATGCCAAATTAAGATTCAGAATATGTTGTCCAGCACTATAATAACTAGAAATGGAGTTCGATAACGGGATTCCCTAGCCTGCCTTTTGTTCACTATAGTATTAGAGAAGGTAGTTAGAGCTGCAGGCATCAACACAAGGGGAACTATATTCTACAAGTCAGTTCAAATTTTGGCATTTGCAGATGATATTGATATAACTGGTAGAACACAAAAATCTATGAAAGAAGCTTTCCTTAATTTGGAAAGAGCAGCAAAAAAGATGAATCTACAAATTAACAAAAATAAAACGAAGTACATGCCACTAACCAAGAAAGACTGTGCTAATGGCCTGCATATATTGATATTGGCTCATATAAATTTGAGGTTGCATGCAGTTTCACTTACCTTGGATCAGAAGTTAACTGTAAAAATGATATCAGTGATGAAATAAAAAAGCGTGTACTTGCAGCAAATAAATGTCTCCATGGCCTTAGGAAACACCTGAAATCCCAATTAATACCCAGGAAAACCAAAACTATGATGTATAAAGTACTTATAAGATCAGTGCTATCTTATGCCTCTGAGACCTGGCCACTGTCAAGATCGGATGAAAGACTGTTAAGTATATTTGAAAGGAGNGAATTTTGGGTATAAAGAACTGGAGGAATGTAGCATCAAATAGAGAAGAATGGCAAGCAATCCTGAGGAAGGCCAAGGCTCACAAAGGGTTGTCGTGCCAGTGATGATGATGATGATGATGACGTTTCGGAGAAACATATCGCCTCCATCTTCAGGGTAGAAGAAAACAAGAAATTGGTGAGTGAGCCAGCGTGAGCAGGTGTAACAGACTGAGTCCAGTCTGTCTGTTGCACCTGCTCAAGACTCAGTCTGTTATACCTGCTCACGCTGGCTCACTCTCCGATTTCTTCTTTTCTTCTACCTTGAAGATGGAGGTGATTAACAGAATACCTACATGGCGCCATATCCCAGAAGACTGCTTTCTTCTATATTTAAGAAATCAGTGTCAACATTATACGAAACATGGCGGATCTCCATGTCAAACTCTTAGTTAATGCACTTTAGGGAAATAATCACTGTTTATTCTGAGAATCACAAGAAATGCACCCTGTGGGCAAAATGATTTTTACTGTAAAAACAAGGGTGATCACAGCAACCACTGTGCTTTAAAACAGTAACTAGCCCAGATGAAAAGAACTTCAATTATTAGAGGTAGTCCTGAGTTACTGACATAAAGTTAATTCCATCTCAAGATGTTCTACCTGTTTTACCATATCTAAAAAAGACTTAAGAAAAATCCTTCTAACTCAACCTTTCAATTACTTTGGGTGTCCCTTATGGTCTTTTCCACCTATTACACCCATCCCAGTGTATACAGCCTCTAACCTGTCACCTATTTACATTCTATATATGTATGTACAGGGTTATTCAAAAAGAATGAACTGATTTTATTAAAGGAAAGTAATACAAAACTCCAGCCAAGTCACAAGTATTCTACTCACAATCAACTTTTATTTCCTGTCTTACAAGTGTTCAATGTGGCCACCACCTGCAGCACGGGTAACATCAATGTGATAAAAGAATTCCTCCCAGGCACATATCAGCATATCACGATGCACTGAGGTAGTCACTGCTGTTATTCGATGTTTAAGGTCATCGAGGTTAGTGTGTAGCGGTGGAACATAAACGTGATCTTTTACATATCCTCACAAGAAGAAATCACACATGGTGAGGTCTGGGGATCTCGCAGGCCAAGCACAAAGAGCAAGGTCTTTGCCCCCTTCTGACCAATCCATCGCTGGGGCACTTTTTCATTTAAAAAAGCTCGGATCATCAGGTGCCAATGGGCGGTGCTCCATCGTGGTGAAAAATGAAGTCATGCGAATCTGCTTGCAGTGAAGTGAAGAGCCAGTTTTGGAGCATATCGAAATAGGTTTGTCCTGTAACGGTGTTTCCTTCAAAGAAAAAGGGACCATAAACCTTGTCCTGAGACACAGCACAGAAGACGTTCACCTTAGGGGAATCTCTTTCATGCTCAACTGTTTCATGTGGGTGCTCTGTTCCCCAAATACGCACATTGTGACGATTGACTGTGCCGCTCAAGTGAAAAGTCGCTTCATCACTAAAAATTAAACGTGAAATGAAGGTTTCGTCTTCCATCATCTCCAGCATCGAATCACAAAATTCCATCCGCTTCCTTTTGTCGTCATCGGTAAGTGCCTGAAGGAGCTGCAGTCTGTATGGTTTCAAATGTAGACGTACTGTTAGCACACACCAGACAGTGGATTGAGGGATCGCAAGCTCACGGCTAGCTCAATTTGTTGACTTCCGCGGGCTCCTCTCAAACGCAGCACGGATTCTGGCCACTTGTTCCTCTGAGACTCGTGGTTGTCCTGGACTTTTTCCTTTACACAGACACCCACTCTCTTGACGCTGTCGAAACCACCGTTGAATGTTCCTAGGACAGAGCGGATTAATGCCGAATCGCCTTTGAAAAGCACGCTGCACCGTGACAACCAAATTTGTTTTCGCGAACTCGAGAACGCAGAACGCCTTTTGCTTAGGACTCGCCATTCCGAGGGTAAACGAACAACTGAACGTTGCCGGAAGAACGACTCTACTTCAGCGCCCAGCCATTCACAACTTAGATAACTCCTCTTTCACATGGTCACTGACTTATTCCATAACGATGCTTGAGAACTGAAGCAATGCGTCATGAAATCGGTTCATTCTTTTTGAATAACCCTGTATATAAAAACACGGAAACAAATCATTCTGAATGTTAACACAGTATAGAAATTTGAATGATCAGAGCTTGGGGAGAGAACTTTATGACAACTATGTCATCCCCTTCACTGTCAGACACAGGGTGGGCAGCCAGGGTGATTGTGGTGGTGGTTGTTCACTTGTATCATCAGTGTCACTTTCCAGAATAAAGTCGCTATCACTGTCAACTGTATCTACATATTCCAACATGTCAGAGCCATCTAACCTAGAGCTTGGACCAGCCATTGTCTAGTTAAAAGTGTAAAATAACTAACTATATATGCTATAAACTCTAGAAAATATGATAATATATAACTTTATTACAAAACAAAATACCGCCACTAAGCTATGATATATTCACAGTAAAACAATTAAAACCACAGACCAAGAAAGCACTGAACCACCAAGTAAACATGTGAGCTCAACACATTTCACTTGTTTCAGAAAATTTTTGTTGCAAGCAAAGGTATACCATCTGGGAGCAAAACTGTGAAACAGACCTTGGGGAATTTGGTACTGCCTTGTGATGCCACTGTTGATCCATTTATGTAATTAAAAGAGCATCATTTAGATGGAGCTGACAGACCAGCTACCTGAGTGTTCTGGCCATTACCTGATGAGCTAATGGATTGGCGCCCTGAGTGTATAAGGGTTAAGTATTTGTCTTTTGGAAGGAAAATGGAGTAAGCTGGCTAAAGCAGTAACACTTCTGACCTGTATTTGGGAAATACCCTGTTCGAATCTCAGCAGAGATACCAGGTATCCTAGGTGAGGTTTTCATGGTTTTCCTGTTTCCTCCAGGCAACTGCTAAGGTGATACCTTCAAACAGGCAAATACTGCTTCCTTCCCCATCCTCTCCAATTAATCACTTCTTAATAATTCTACCATTCAAGGCTAATAGTCTCAACTACCAACAGTTTTGTTAAATAAACCATAAATAAATAAGTACATAAATAAAATGAAAGTGAAAAGATTCTGAACCGAAAAGCAGCATGCATTCTCACAACTTATTTCCCACAACACAGTAATTTTATGGTTGTGAAGAGGCTTCCTTCTTTAGAAACTTAAACTACTCGTATGTTTGTCAATCACATGACTAAACTACACACATGAAAAACATAGACACTCAAGTATGAACAGCACGCCTTTGCAGGCCACCGGTTGCCACTTTTTCATTTCCAATCATCAGTAATATCACCTGTGAAGTTGGAACAACAGTAGTGCCATTCAACATAGGAACCTGAAGATTTGTATTGTACACGGTTTTTTAAAATATGCAAATTTTATTATGCCTAAGGAAAAGTTCAGACCAGAAATATTACTTCCAGGGGGAAAATTACAGGGAAGTTGTTAACATTTATTTAACTCTTAAGCTTGAAAATCTGTAATCTATAACTTATTACACAAACCCCTGCCTGGAAATCAGCTATCCTGGTTGAGATTTCTTGTGTTTTCAAATCCCCCCCCCCCACATGTAAATTTCAGGGCAGTACCGCAAATGTGACCATGATTAATTATCCTACATTTGATGCTACATGAGCTGACATACTAACAGTGTAGTTAACTGAACCATAAATGAATATATATGTCAATGTTTCATTATTGGCAATTAGATTTCTTAATGTAGCAAACTTCGCTAATCATACCCTATTGTCACTAATTATGTGCGAAATCTCTTAGCCAGTTGTTAGTCCTTTAAACTGTTACCTTTTAGCAGAATTCTGACTAAAGTGAGAAACTAAATTACACACTCCAGTTCTGCATAGAAACTGTCCTTTGTAATTAAAGCATATCTATTCACAGTATCACCCTCTGAGCTCCATAGTATTACTAATAGCAGTGTGTCCTTAACAAATTCAACTTTATTAACCAGTGAAAGAATTCTAATACAGAAGAGCCAGCTCCAAAATGATGACCTCCCCTCCCTAAAAATATAACATCATCAGCTGAGAAAAAAGAAAAACAGGTCAGAATTTTTTGTGATTTAACTAAAGCGTATGATGCCATAAATCATGACACCTTGCTTTCTAAATTACAAACATATGGAGTTAGAGGTGTGGCAAACTTATGGTTAAAATCATATTTGGCTTACTGGAAGCAAGTTGTTAAAATAAGTTGTGATGGCAAAAGATATACATCGGCTCCAAGAGAAATTAAATATGGAGTACCACAGGGTTCAGTGCTTGGACCATTATTATTTTTATTATACTGTGACATGTTGCGCAACGGAGGACACCCACCTCCCCAGCGGTACGTGGAGGTAACATAGCGCTTGCGTTACTATGGTAATAGTGGAGTCCCCGCCCCGCCACTCTCCCCACGGTGATGTAACGCACAACGCGCAGTGACGCAACACGGCTTCCTACTGTGACGTGGCACGTAACAGGCACACACAGCCCCTATATAAGAGAGCTGCGCTGCCTGCGCAGTGAGTTGTAATGTGGCCATCACCTAAGACAGTTCCGAGTTAGTTCCGAGCAAGCCTACGAGCGAGTGTGTGATCACCAGTTCTCAAGGCAGCAGCCTACGAGTGTGTTATCAACAGTTCTCAAGGTAGAAGCATGCGAGTCGAGTTGACATATAGCAGCCGTCGCGATAAGAAGAACCGGACGTGTGTGTAACTGTGTAATTGGGAGTGTGTGATTCAGGGAGATTTGTATAGCTCCCGCGTTATTAGTACGTAAAGACTTTGGTTGTAGGGTTTGTAAAGTGAGGAAACCCGCAACTGTGTTATAATTAATTGTAGCCGTGATTTGTAGGTTGTTAAATAAACCAATTAACGATCTCTATGGCGTATTCAGTAACGAAACACGTTACAATACATAAATAATCTGCCTTTGAATATCAAAGAGGCAAGGACAGCTTTGTTTGCAGATGATATAAATATTTTTGTAACAGCTGAAAAGGGACATATCCTGCAGAAAACGATAAATAAAGTCATGAATGAGTTATACTGATGGTTCAATGCAAATAATCTTATATTGAATACTGAGAAAACAATAGCAATGTCATTTCATAATAGACAAGAAAGAGATCTGATGAAACCTCAAATCAAATTTGGCAAAATGGAGAGCTCCTACAAATGTGAAACGAAATTTCTAGGTATACATGTTGGCGAGCATATGGAGTGGAAAGCATATATGATGTTCTTAAGATCAAAACTTCATAAAGTCTGTTACATGATAAAATCCCTTAGGGATGTAACAAGCTGACAGATTATAAGGAGTATTTACTTTGCTCACTTTCATGCTTATTTGAAGTATGGTTTAGTTTTCTGGGGTAGCAACCCAAAAAGGAAAATTATATTTAAATTGCAGAAACGAATTGTTAGAATAATTAGTGGTGTGAGTAGATTAGCATCATGTAGACATCTTTTTAAGGATTTAAACTTACTTCCACTACCCTGTATGTATATATTTGGAATAGTATGCCATGTTAAACTACATTTAGAAAAGTTAGAACAAAGTAACATAGTTCATAATCACAATACACACCAGAAGTTAAATCTCCATGCTCAGTTTTGCAGAACAAATGCCTATAAGAAAGGAGTACTGAACATGGGAATAAAATTATACAATAAAATACCAAATAAAATTAGGGAGATAGAAAAAATGAGACAGTTTAAAAATGTAATGAGGTCATATTTGGTACAACATGTTTTATTCTGTAGAGGAATATATGTTAAATTAAAGATGGTATGTTTGTGAAAGGGGGGTATTTATTTTTAATTATAGAAATTGAACTATTGTATGTTTAATGTGTATGGAACGTTTTCCTATGACAGTGATTTGACGAGGAAGGAAGAATGGATTGGTTGATTGATTGACTGATTGATGTGAAATGGACTGAACTCGTTACTCTGTTGCGGAATTTATGTTGTCTTAAATTTTTAATATAGTTTTATATGGTACATTGGACATGTACACAATTTGTGTATGTAGTTAAATATTATAGTATTGTTGACTTTTATACAAATAATTTGGCTAGTATCTGGAGGCTGTATTGCAAAATGTGGATTTCTGGAACCAATAAAAATATGAATATGAAACTAGTCCTGCTACATGAAGATACGCATCACAAATTCTCTAGCAACCATAACCTGTGTTCTTTCTCTGTTGATTATATCCAGTTTCAAAGTATTTTATGAGAACTGTCTACAATTCATCTAAGTTTCATTGCGGCACCAGACTGTTTAATCGCCTCAGTATGTATTAGCTGTCCACAACAGGATCATGAGAACATTGTGGATACAAAAGATCTACGTATCAATAATCTGTTACCCTACAGTTTAACAAAATGTTCACGATCTTAACCTTCAGGTAAAAGCACAGTTGAATAGACTACTGTTATTTATTCGTATGTGTCAGTTACATCAAGTATCACTAGCAACCATGTCTGAAATAAAACAGTATGATACATTACGAGATGAGGCATTTGGATATTATTAATATAGTAATAAAATTAAAAGACAGTTGGATGAATTGACAAGATGCAACTAACCTCATCATGTAACACATATTCCAGTAAAATATCCTCATTTAAATAATACTTCGCTTTTACATTATGAAACTTTATCAATTCCACTGGCATCGTTAGTGAATTGGGTTATTCCTTAACGTGATGACAGTTAGAATTCAAGCTATAATTAAATTACAATACACAAACTTTATTCAAGACGTTCAAGACGTTCACAACCACTTCAAATCACAATTGCGAGAATTCAAATTGGTTTGTTTATGTTCTCTGATTGGTCGATATCTGTTTGTAATTTCTGCCACCACACAGATGACACAGATGGAGGCGGTAGTTACTCATGTCTCCACTTAAATGCCAGTTTCTACCCCATGGACATGTGCAGCATAAGTACACAAGATGTTAGGGTTACATAATCTGCTCCTGTCTTCATGTTTTACTGTGTTCCACGTTTGTATTTCATTGCGTGCTTTTGCTGTTTTGAATAAGAATTATTTGTAAAACTGGGATATTTCTTCGATACATTGGGAAAATTTATGCGCTACGGACGGCAACAATGTTCCGAAGAAGCACAGGCACGATTAGGGACGTTGTAATTGTTAACGGTTTGTTCCTGCCAGAAATAAAAGTTATTGAAGTTTAAATGTAAGTACATGGAATGCTATAACGTAAGACTTATAAGTACTTTATGTTGTACGAATATTATGTATCTGGGTAATGTCCAGAAACTAGTTCTAACATACCATCTTCACAATCATGCATTGATGCCAACGTCATTACTATTTTCAATCATGGTCGTGTGTATACAAATTTTCTCTTCCGTACTGAGATTCTGACATCTTAAAACAAACCGCGAAATTTGAGGTGAAATGTATACATTTTCTTGCTCTGCATTGCGTTATTTTATTCTTCCTAGAGTTACTTCCTCTTTATTGAATCGAAATATTCTCCTCAGTGCTTTGTTCTCCAGCACTCCACATCTGTGTGCTCTTCCATCAAGATGGGAGACCAAGTTCTTGGCAGTTGAGACAAATAACTCCTGTCTTTTATCTAGTGTAAATTATTCTGAGGAAACACATTCAATTCTAGACCCTGCACTGAAGAGGTTAAATATAAGTTTCTGAGTTCACTCGCGAATTATACCAAAATACCGCAGATTCAGTTATGTCAAATTGTGAACACGGTAATTAATCTTCAGGTTCCATGAAATGTTGGGAAATTCTTGAGTAGGAGCACAACTGGTAGCTTCTCAGGTAGTGCTCAGCTCCATGGTGCAAGGGTCAGCCAGGTTCTGGAGAAGGCTCATGAAGAGGGAAGTGCTAGTGTTGTTAGTTCCGGCAACAAAGTGGTAAGAAGTAAAAAATACATGAAAATGCTCATGAATCAATAAAAACATTCTTGAATCACACCTATAATTAGATGGGGTGCTAAAGCTCCCCCCCCCCCCCCCCCCACCACCAAAAAGCGTACAGGATGTGTGAGTGTGTTT